CACAAAATTTTAAAGAGAATCCTATAGACAAAACTGCCACTAGGGTGAACTAAAGAAGAAAGAGACAGTTCAAAATGAAAAAAAGGCTGGCCAGTTAGCTTAGTTGGTAAGAGCACAATGTTATAACACCAAGGTCAAGGGTTCGGATCCCAGATTCTCTTACTGGCCAGCTTCCAAACAAACAAACAACAAACAAAAACAAAACAAGGGCAGGAAGCAGGCTGAGAGAGCTATTCAACTATAAAGGGAAGGCAGTTTCTTTGGAAAAGGAAGATTGATTCAGAGGTCCTAACCTGGACCCCAGAGGATGGAGCCAAGAGCTACTAATAACAATATGGATTAGGAAACTACTCCCAGGAAAAAGAACCAGGCCTTAATGGAGAACTAGTTCCTCACAGGCAAGGTGACAGTGCATAGTTGATTTCAGAACTGCTACAGACTAACAACTGCTATGTGCCTTCCATTTCCCTCTTTTGGACAGGAGTGTCTATTGTAGTCATCCTATCCCTGTTTCAGCAATATATGTTAGATATGTAACTCTTTTTAGTTCACAGATCTCCATGGGAAGAGGTGCAGCATCAGAAATGCTTCATCCATATCTAGGTCTAGTTTATATTACTAGATTCTGTACTTTAGAACCAATGCTCTACAGAATGATGATTTGGGGGGAGGGGAGTGAGTATATTTTGTATGTCCGTGTGTGCGCATGTGTGTATGTGTGCGTGTGCACATGCACATGTGTATATTATTGTAGCCACAGGAGGGATCATGGAAAAGTGTTTCCAAATATGGCTGCCAAGAATTCCTCCTATCTCAGCCACTATTTTCATCAGGAAGTGGAGTATCTTTCCCCTCCCTTTGAATCTAGGCTGGCCTTGTGACTTGCTTCAGCAATGCAACAGAAGTGACATTCGGGGGCTTTTGAACCCAGGCTTTAAGAGGCTGTGGAGCTCTGCTTTCTCCCTCTTGGGATCAGGCCACTGTGTAAAGAAGCTTAGTTTGGACCACTGAATGATGAGCAACCACAGAAAGAGTGGGAGGCCCTTAACCATTCCACCTGCTCCAGCTGAGGTGCCAGACATGTGGGTGAAGCCATCTTGGACATTCCAGACCCAGTCAAACTCACGGCTTAATAAAGCACATGTCTGATCCTAGCTGACAACATGGGGGAGCAGAAGTGATCAGCTATGCCTTTTCAAATTGCAGAATTGCTAGAAAATAAAAGGTGGTTGTTGTTTTATGTCTCTAAGTTTTAAGATGATTTATTATGAAGCAATAGATAATTGAAATAGTTATCAGATGTTAGGGTATTTTTTAAAATTATTTTTTATAAAAAGATGACCGGTAAGGGGATCCTAACTTGACTTGATATTGTCAGTTGTCAGCACCATTTTCTCCCAAGTGAGCCAACTGGCCATCCCTATATAGGGATCCAAACCCATGGCCTTAGTGTTATCAGCACCACACTCTCCCAAGTGAGCCACAGGCCGGCCCTAGATGTCAGGGTATTTTTTTTTATCACTTTAACTTTACCCTATGGGCTGTGAAGATGTAGCAACAGTGTCAACCAAAGTCTTGAAGTTTTCAAGGCTAAATTTCATAAAGATGGACTGTATATGCCATAGTCATTACTCTGTCCACAGAGCTCAGCATGGTACTGGGACATACCAGACTCCAAGCATTAACTGATTGAATCATTAAATGAATGAATGTTGGTAAGACCTTTCTATCATCAAGAAGACAGACAAAAAAGATACTCTGAACAGACTTTGCCCCAAGCATTTTCTCTTTCAAAAAGGTACTCTTTGTTTATAGAAGAAGTGATGCCTCAGAGGCCAGAAGGATGTTCTAAAGGGAAAGAATTGTAGGAGTGAGGCAGTGATCAACCGTGACTCCTTCTCAATGTCCCACCTGTACTTACACAAATGCAGGCTACTCTGTGAAGCCCCAATACCCACTCGTCCATCAAAATTACATTTTTCTACTATTGGAATTGCTAAAAAGAAAAATATGTGTTCTATAGGGCCAAAGTTAGAGTTAGTATTAAGGGGGTCAAAGTAGAATGCCCAATAGCCAATGTAACTCAGAGACTAACACAGTCAAAGCTGTCTTGTTATGTTAGGTCTTTTTTTATCACTCCTTGGGTCCAAATCACAATTTCTAAATGCCACTTGGACACAGTGGGTCCCTGGTCTGCTCTGTGGTTCCACCAGGAGCACCCAAACAAACTCTTATTGCTCTGAGAGTGAAGATTTCATACAGTACACCTCTCTATTGAGATGTGAAAAGTGACTCTAAAATAGCTTCAGGACAGATTTAGGAGATGGAAAGCATATAGACAATAATGGAAAATTCTCTTTCAGGATATAGTTACTTGCATGACCCATAACAGTGACTTTTGGAGAATGTCTTGGGAAAACTATCTTTATTTAAAGAACAATATTTGTTATTAGAATAAACGAAATAAGGGAAAAGCCTTCAGACCCTTGGAATAATGGGGCAGTTTAAATTCAACCCAATAATTATTTTTTTATTCTATATTATTTAGAAAACAGTAGTTAAACAGATAAAAATAGAGAAGATTGCTTAAAAATTAAAGCCATTGATTTAGATCTTTTTTTTGAAAGGTCACTGTGTGGGAGATGAGAAAGTCACTATAGCGATCAGAGTGTTCACACAAAAGACATTTTAGCAGCAGGCCCTAAAAGAGCACATCAACTATTTATAGAACCCACATCAAGTTGTTGGTCATTTACTTATCAAAGAAAGTAAGAAAGGAATTTTCTTTAGATATTCTTTGGGTGTAGTAACAATAGTTTTGGGATCAGCTGTTAGAAACTATAATTAAAGCCGTTTTATCATGTTCACGAATCATTCTATATAGTTGGCCTCCCTGAAGCTTTATATAATTCTCCCCTTTGTTATATATAAGCTTCTGTTGGCTAGGGTGTTCTGAATCCAGACAGGTAAGAAACTGAAGTGGTTGGAAACCCGTGTATTGTATATCTGTACATCCAAGCAGGTCTTTTCAAGTGAACTATAAAAAATTTATTTTTAAAAAACTTTCTGTACATTTGATAGGGCCAGCTATTGAGAGGTTTCAGTCCTACCTCCTAGGTAAAGAGATCCCTTGGGTAGAAGGAAAAAGTGAAAAAAAAACAAAAATTGAAAAAGGATACATCAATATTTCTTTCAAGAACATACTTAACAGTGGGAAGGGGAGGAGGTTTTTATTCAACAACTTCTAATAACCACCTGATGTTGCTGTCAGGCTGGCCAAATATCTGCCAAGGTCAGTTATTCTTTCATTCATCACTAGAGAGAAGTAGAGGGACCTGATGTTTAGAGAAGCAGCAAAACCCATTTTCTGTTTTTCTTCTTTTAGCCAGATGGAAGTGCTTACGACTGGTCTCATTTTCCAGCACTTTGGTGCTGGTGATGCACATCCTCCCTGCTCCAGAGTAACTCTGTGTCATGGGAATCAAAGAGGATCCTCTCTCCTCACGCCTAACACCAACAGGAACAGGAATGAACCATTTCATTTTCTTCCAAAGAAGTGTATTTCAGAGCTTCTTAGATGCTATGAGACTAATTGTCACAGAAGGTAGGCTCCAGAAGAGCAGCAAAGTAGGGCAGTGGTAATAACAGGGACTCTGGGGACAAGATCAGCAAACTGAGAAACAAATGAGAAACAAAGGGGACATTTTACCCCTCCCCAATGTATTACCCTTCATTAACTTCATCTTCATTTCCCCTTTCCCCACCAAGCAGAAGCGGATACTCAATTGAGCACAGCTCAGGATTTTAATATGCAATCTAGTAGAACACCTAGACATCAGGGATTCATTTTCGGTTATTTGTAAAATAAAGAAATCCCTGAACCTGCCAATCCCTGAACCTGCCAGGCTCCACGGGGGAAAAAAAATCTCTAGTTCACACTAGGCTGTGTGGACAGGATTTGCATCTTCGGAAACCAAATGGAGGCCTTTCTCCTATTGTTTTCAGGTTGCTCTCCATCTCCTTTTCCACTTGTGGTCCCTGCTTCCCCCAAGCTGACCAGAACCATGCACAAAATCAGCCTTTAATAAGTATTAATATGGAAGCTTCAGCAGGTTGCTAACTCCTACAGGGCTATCTTAAAAGGATGTTATATATGAATGCAAAGTTTTATGGAGCCTCAGAGATCCCTAAGAACACTGTAAATATCTCTGGTTTAATTAGTAGTCCTGGAGTTAGGTAATGGCCTGAGACTTTCTGAGCTAGGCCTCTTGGGGTTTCTAGTCTTCAGGGGCTGTTTGCGACTATGATGTGCACATATACAATCTTTTTTTCTCATACACTGCATAAATCCTCCTTTAGATCTTTTTAGTCATCTTCTCACAATTATTACAATACACATGCAAATTGATTCTCATTCTCCCAACTTTGGAAAAAGGACCCAGGGCCTCAGCTTTGGTCTCAAGTCAGATATTTTTGGACTCAGTCACCTTGAATTCTTCCCCAGGGAAAAAATAAAAAGAAAGAAATTCCTACATTGGTGTTAATTAATGCCCATTTTCTCCAAGCAGAAGGTGGACTACTTGCTTTGTAGCTGATTAATGTCGGGAGAGCGAAAATGCACTCCAGTTCTCAGCATTTCTGAATCAGCTCTCTCACGGGGATAGGTCAACCAATCGGGGCTGTAAGCAGACTTGACAGGTTTATTCTGGCTGACGGCCATTGACTAGGTTTTCCGACCAGTTAAGTCACTTGGCTGAGTCTACTGTAGGTGGGGCGCGCTCACCAGCTCAGAGGTAGTGACTGGAAGTTTGTTGCACCATTTGCGAATCCAAGCAGCGGGCTGCAGCAGGAGATACCCTTGTGCCCCGCGAACGCAGAACCGGACGGGCTCATCTTAAGGGGCAGGGCACCAGCAAAGAAGACGCGCCAGACCTCTAGCGCCCAGCGCCGTCTCCCACGGTTGGGAACGCGCCGTGCTGGTCGATGCAGAGCAAGGAGTTTCAGTCTCGGCCCTTTGATTTACTCTGTGGGTAACAGTCGAGGGGTGGGACCAGCTTGGGGACTTTCTCCGTGGTCTGCACCAGCGGGGCGTGGAGACGGGGGCACGTGCTTGGATGTGGGTGCTTGTGTAACCAGCTCCCCAGCCGCTACCCCTATAGAGCTCCCGCAGGAGGCTCGTCTGAACCCCTTTTCCCGCCCTCCTCAGTTGGCAGGAGCACCCCGAGCCAAAGAAGAGAAGCACTTGACTCTGGAGCAGGCACAGGGGAGTGGGAATTTGGAAAGTTCCCCAACTAGGAACACACGTGACCTCCTCCTGAAAGTAGTTCCGACTGTGGCCCGTGTATCCTTCCACCTCCTTTTGAACCCTCCTAGGTCTCCTCGCCCCGCCCATCCGCAGGGCTGCAGCTTCCTACCGTTCTGTACTTTACGCTCGGGCCCAGTAACACCGGCCTTGAGCGTGCACGGTCCGGCCGGGGATCGTGTAACCTGGCCCCGGCAATCCATCCTGCCGGGTTTTCGCAGCGCCACAAAGGGGCGGGGCGAGGTAGCCTCTATGGACCCGAGCTTGAGTTCGACGCATTGAACAGACTTGGAGCCCGAGGGGCAGAGATGCTCCCCTCTCCAGGGGGCAGTGAAGGGGCCTATGGGGTGCGTCCCACTCAAGAGGATCCGTTTTTAGTCCACCTAGACAGGTGTCCTTTGGGACCTGGAAATTCAGGGGCGACGTGTTCACACTCAACGCGCTCGGCAGGGAGCTTTCATTTTTAGGGCAAATGAGCCGAGTCGCCGGCAAGCGAGACGTGGGGCGGTAAAAGGGAGCCGGATGAGGTGATACACGCTGGAGACACAATAGGAGGTTGTTCTTTGTGCTTAAGACTGACACCTTGAGGACATGGTGGGGGAGGGGGAGGACGTGTAAGCAAAGGCAGCTACAGTTAAATCCCTGCAAACGAGTGTGATCCGACGGCGGTGCAAAAGGAGAGAGTGAGAATGCAGACCATACCGGGGAAATCAGGGGCGGAGGCAGGGGGAGGGGCTTCCTCGCTGCAGGGACCGTCCCTGCATTTCCCTATACCCTGACCCGCGCGGTCACCTGGTCCTTTCCACCTGTGCACAGGTAACCTCAGACTAGTCAGTGACACTGCTCAACGCACGCGTCTCAGCTTTCATCATCGATACCCCACCCCCATCCCGCAACAGCCAACCCTGCCTCCGGCTTGGTTTCTGAGGCTCAGCTCGTCACCCGCGCCCGGCGTTGCTGCAAAAGCAGTCGCGGCAAGTGCCGCTACAGGCGGGCGCCTCGGAACCAGCCCGAGCGAACCCCCGGCAATCACTTTGGGCATGCTCAGCAGCGCCTGCAGGTTAGGGGCTCTCCGTTCGCACCGCGAACTGCCGCTCTCGCCCCCTCCTACCGCCCCTGCCCTCCCCTCCCCCGGCGCGGTCCCGACCGCCTCTAGTTTATCGCGGAGCTA